GCTGGCACAGGAGGAGATTGCCCCTCCTTCTCCAGAAGAGCATCTAGTGGATTTGAACCGTGTGCCTTCAGGATTGCAGCACAATTTCTTGGAGTTTACCTTTCAATATGACTTTTCTAGTCGTCTTTAATCTGAGTTGACCGTGTGGATGGACAGGACTATGTGAAGAAGGGGTGTTAGTTTACTACAAGGGGATTGGCTATTTCACAAGGGGATTGGCCAATCTCAACAATCTACATGAGGACTGACTATGCCAATAAACTGAACAGTTCTAACTACAGAATGGGACCTCTTGCCACCACTGGTGAAGAAACCTTATGACCAGGAAAAGAGTAGCCATAACCAAACTAGACACTTGATGTGAGATGGGACCTTGGAACCAGAGCTAAGAGCCTTTGCCCAAGTGTTTGGACAACTGGGAGTGGGGCCATAATTTTCAGGACTGAATTTGTAACAGAGGCAAAGCCTGAGGGTCAGGAGGGAAGGCCAATTTTGACAAGACTGAGAACTTTGTAACACTGGCCGAAAGCTGTGAGGCTCAAGGCTGAGGTGCTTGCAAACCCATTTTGGAAGCTGTCCTATCTAGTCTGCTACTGACCTGGATTGTATCCTTTTGACTCTTCTAACATGGTTCTGTGTGGTCTGTGAGCTATTGTATCAGATTTTGCACCCAGCAAAGCAGTAAGATTGCTGGTGAGATGAGTAGAAAGTAGTGAGAGAGATGTCTGACCTCATGGCAATTGGTTTTGTGTTACTGATGCTATTGGTGGAGACAGTTCCCCATTGTGAAGTTAATAAAGGTCAAAAATGTCCATCCCCATCTGGCCCTTGCTCTTTTTACATCACCCTACCCTACTGATGAGCTAAGCCAGCCAGATGAAAACCTACTCTCCCTCAGTGATGGTGGAACTCCCTTAGACAGGCCCAGGCCATGTTACCCTTCTCCAAGCTCCACACTCAAAGTTACAGTATTTCTCCCAAGTCAGCCCACATCAGGGAAGGTTGTCTAGTCATTTGTCAAGTTACTTACACATCACTCCACTCTCTGGCCTGTGACACAGGTAAAAATCATCTGATCCAGACAGGGGGAGTTTGGAACATCATTTGACACTGCTTGGTGGATGACACTAACCCTAATGATACCAATATACATTCACTTTATTGTTGATTGCCTTAGAGTCAAGCCCATCTCATAGTGATCCTATGAACAAAAGGCCTGAAGCTCCTCTACAACTGTCAACATTTATCAAAGTTCATAGTTTGCAGAGGCATGTTATTTAGAAAGTGAAGCCTCTATAATTTTCCTAAATAATCCCAATCTGCCAAGAAGGTATGTTCATTTCCAGTTCCCACAATATATTAAATCCAAATATATTCTCAAATTATGATCTTTTCTGCTACTTCTTCAATTTATGGGTCACAACATAATGCAGTTACATATGGAGATATGAAATAAATTACATCACATCTTTAAAATTCAGTCTAGGGAGGAAATTATCAAATTACCACACTTTCATAATGAGTTAAAGACTTCATTATTCATTATGACTCATCATCAAGGAAACAGAAATCCTCAGCGCTGGAAGATCATCATCACGATTGATGGAGGAAAGACTGAAGTGGTCAATGATTTCATTTTACTGTGATCCCCAATCAATACCTCTAGAAGCAACACTTAAGAAATCAAAAGTTGGGGAGCTCTGGTGGCTTAGTGGCACGAAACTGCGCTGCAATCCCAGAGGAACACGGTTCGAATCCACCAGACGCTCTGCTGGAGAAGGAGGTGCAATATCCTCCTGTACCAGTCAGATCTGATTTGACGGTACATGCACACAAAATAAAAAAAATAAAATTAAAAAAAAAAAATCAAAAGTTGTGTTGCACTGGGGGAAATCTACTGTCAGGATCTCCCCAAACTGCTACAGGGCAAGGATGTCAGTTTAGAGACTATGGTTCACCCTACCCAACCCATGATATTTTCAGTTGTTTCCTATGTTTCTGAAAGCTAGACAATTATTATATGAGAAAATTAATATCTTTGTCTTGTGGGATTGAGAATATGAAACATCCCATGGATTGCCAAATAACAAACATACATTGAAGTAAGTGCAACGAGAGTTATCTTTATGGTTAATGATGGTGAGACTTCTCTCACATACTTCCAAGACACTTCTTGGAAAAAGACATCTTTCTGGGAAACATCAAGTATCAGACAAAGACAGAAATACCCTCAGTGAGATTGCTTGACATGGTGATTGTAACAATGGACTGGAGCTGCAAGGTTCAGATCTGTTGTTTGTATGGACACTATGAGTCATGGTTGACTTCAGGCCCTCTGACACAATTACAGCATGTAGTAATGTCAACAAAACCACCTCTGCATTGAGAAGCTCCTTGAGTTTCCTGGTTGGTGAAAAACATGCTAGGCAGCTGTGATGCCATTGCATTCTTTCTTTTGGGAACATGAAAATGGCAAACTGGGAATTATCTGAAAGTTTGCACAATGCACGTATTTATGCCCTCTTTTGAAGGAATGGGAGCTCTGGTGGAGAGTCCTATGTAGAGAATTCTGGTGCCAATACAAAGTGACTGCTCTGGCAGTAGGAAGACATTAACCCTACTCCTAACTGATAATTAAGGATGTTATGGGGAGAATACTGAATGATCTAGGAAGCAACAAAAGAAGATGGAAGGAGTAAAAAGAATCACTATACCAAATAGAAATGACACAGAAGAATTTCATGAAACAACATATGATCAGGGGGCAATGATGAGGAGGAAGTTCATTTAAACTGAAGTAACTAGCAAAAAAATGAGACCCCTCCCAGGACATATCAGTTGACATACAACAAACAGATGCAGCCCTGGATGTGCTCACCAGGTTGTGCCAAGAAATCTGGAGGAAAACTATCTGGCCAGCTGACTGTTATTCCCATTACAAAAAAAGGTGATCTGACAGAGCATGGACTTTATCAAACAATATCACTAGTATCGCATGCGAGCAAAATTCTGCTGAAGATCATGTACAAATGACTGGAACAGTAGTATATTGACAGAGAGCTACTAGAAATACAAGCTGGATTTATAAGAAGCTGTGGCTTAGGGACACCATAGCTAATGTCAGATGGATCTTGGCTGAAATCTTGGCTGAGAGTGCCAGAGGAATGTCTATCTGTGTTTTATTGACTATGCAAAGGTATTTGACTATGTGGATCAAAACTAATTTGGGCAAACATTGAGAAGAATGGGAATCCCAGAACACCTAATTGTGCCCATTCAAAACTTACACTTGGACCTGGAAGCAGTTGTCAGAGCAGAGCAAGGGAACACTGCATGATTCAAATCAGGAAAGGAATGTGTTAGGGATTCATTCTGTCTTCATACTTTTTCAAACTATGTGCAGAACAGATCATTCAGGAGACTGGACTTTATGAAGAGGAACATGGAATCAGGACTGGAGAAAGACTTAACAACAACCTTCGATATGCAGATGACACGCGTTGCTTGCTGAAACTGAGTAAGACCTGACGTATTTCAGAAGGTCAGGAACTGCAGTCTTCATTATGGATTGATACTCACCATCAAGAAGAAAAACTCACCACGAGGCCAAATGGCAGCACCATGATAGATGGGAAGAGAATGAGATGTTAACATTTTAAGCTTGCATGTTTCTATAACCAACACTTTTGGCACCAGCAACCAGAAACTCAAAAGACAAAGTGCATTAGAAAAATCTACTGTAAGGGACCTCTCCTCTCCAGAGTGCTGAAAAGCAACATCATCAGGCTAGAGACTAAGGTATGCCTGATTCAGGCCATGGTCTTTGCAACTTTTTTTTTTGCTATGCATCAGAGATCTGAACAATGACTAGGATGACAGAAGAAGAATCAGTGCCTGTGAGTTGTGGTGCTGATGCAGAGTATTGAACATACCATGGAGTGCCAAGAGAACACACTGGTCTGTCCTACAGAAGATGAAACCAGTTTATTCCTTGGAGATAAAGATTTTAAAATTGTTTCACACACTCTGGATGTAGCCAGGAGGGACCAGTCCTTGGAGAAGGACATCATGAGAAGAGGGACAGCACAGGTGAGGTAGGTGGATTGACACAGTGACTAGGGTCTTGGGGGTACGTGGGTCAGAGACAGTGAGACTGGTTCAGGACAGGGCAGGATTCAGAGCTAACAAAAACCCTCCTAACTCGCCACTCTGGATTTGCAGTCCCTGCAACCCCAATGGAGAGTCAGCTGTCTGTCTTTCAGACTAGTGGAGAGCTGTTGTTGTTAAATTCCGACTCATAGCTGACCCTCCAGCAGGTTTTCAGAGGTTGTAAATAGGAAGTGGTGACGGGGCTCATTTGTCTCCCGCAGATCAGGTGGGGGGAAACAATCTGACACCGCACACAGGAAGTGCTCTCCGTTGCCCCGGAAGCGATTGCGAGTCCTCACCGCGCTGAGGGCCCAGACGTTGTCCAGGCGTGGGTGTCGTTTAGTAGACTGGATCTTTCCCCAGGTCGCTCCACAGTAGGTTTCAGTGAAAACTCCCATTTCATTATGATGAGCGGGCATCCGCAGAGGGGCGCCTGTGGCCGCAGTGACCGCTGTCCGGTAGGTGGACGTCGGGGGTCAGCAGCCCCTTTGTGACGGGGGTCGGGCCCCTCCCGCGGCCGAGGCCTGGATGGGCGGGCGCAGCCCTGGCGGCTCCGGGGCCTCGATTCCCTCTCCCCGCGGGGACGGGGCGCCCAGGGGAGGGGGTGTCCCCCCGCATCGCGGCCCGAGGTGGAGGGGGGCCGGCGGGGGCGAGACCTGCGCTGCTGGGAGGGGAGGAGGCGGGGCCTGCGGCGGCTGCCGTGTGTGTGTGTGTGTGTGTGTGTGTGTGTGAAGGAAATCGGGGAGACGCCGCCGGGGGTCCTGGGGTCCCGGCCCCGCGCCGCCCTGCCTTCCCCACCTGCGTCTGCGATGAGTTTGTGTTAGTAGTTGGGATTAGACAGGGACGCCCAGATGGACGTGGTTATTCAGACCCTGCAGCCCTTTGATAATATGGGGGATGGGAGTGAATTCAGCCCGGCGTAAGCTCAGTCCCCTGATGACAGGAGAGTGATTAATGCTAATGTTCGTGACCATAAGGGGTTCTTTCTGTCTGTCCACATGCAGGTGTGCAGACCCAGCCCCCTATTTACAAATTTCTGTGGACCAGGTCTATTCATGTGCAAGTATGCAAACCCTGCCTCCTGTATGCAGGTGTATACCCGCATGTGCAGGGACCTGGTACACATGCCTCTTCTATCCAGGTGTCTGTGGACCAGGTCTGTCCACATGCAGGTGTGCAGACCCAGCCACCTGTAAACAGGTGTCTCTGGACAGGTCTGTGCACATGCAGGTGTGCAGACCCACCCTCCTGTTTGCAGGTTTCTATGGACCAAGTCCATCCACATGCAAGTGTGCAAACCCAGCCTCTTGTAAATAGGTGTCTGTGGACCAGGTCCATCCACATGCAGGTGTGCAGACCCAGACCCCTGTAAACAGGTGTCTATGGGCCAGGTCCATCCACATGCAGGTGTGCAGACCCAGTGTTCAGTATACAGGTGTCTGTGGACCAGGTCCATCCACATTCAGGTGTACAGACCCAGCCTCATGTATACAGATGTCTGTGGAACAATTCCATCCACATGCGGGTGTCTGTAGAATAAGTCCATCCACATGCAGGTGTCTGTGGAACAAGTCCAGCCACATGCAGGTGTGCAGGGAGAAAGATTGCAATATCCAGAGCAATTTTATTGCAGATCTGGGAAAAGAGACAATTCTCATAAATTGCCTTTTCCTGTAAGGATGGGTTGTTTTGGTGTGTGCCATAGAGTCAGAAATGGCCCATAGCTGACCCTCCAGTGAGCTTTCAGAGGCAATTAATCACACAGGAGGAGATTGCCCTTATGTTTACAAACTTTGTAAGTAAACCAGGATAAAATAAAAATTTAAAAAAAACCCCACCCAAACCCTTGAGGGGAAACTAAGAAAAGAGGGAATAAATCATGAACATTGCATTTAAATCGATGAGGGAAAGAACTGTCTAAAAGAAATACATGATTAGGTATTATTTGCATGACAATGGTCCGGAATAAGAGGTGCACAGCAAAGTGGACTGGGGGGCAGGACGGAGAGAGGAAATTGTGCAACAATGAAAGAATCTTTTTAAAGGGAAAAGTAAACTGTGGGAAGGGAATAGGGAGAAAAATGTGCAACAATAAATGAATGGAAATCCAGGTTTTCTGTAAACTTTTGTTAAAATATCAATTTTTAAAGAAGAATATTTGGGGGGAAAAAATAAATGCCATTCCAAAAGATAAATGCTAGTTCAGGAAAGATGCATTGTCTTTCCCCACAGACAGTTTAAGGTAATCTTCCTGTCTGTAGAGAAGTTACCACACTGTCTGAGGGCCAAATGAACGTTAATTAGAAGATTCAACCAGTTTTGAGGGCTGGTCACCCAAAATGTTAAGTTTGTAGAGCTATATACCATGCTTTTTAATAATACTGAACTTATTAAAACCTCCCTGTCACCAAAGTCCCCAGGACTAGATCTTGGGAAGCAGAGACTTGCTGTGACAGCATACACACTCATGGTTCAGTGTTTCTATTTTACAGAACAAATGTTGTTTTATTATTTACTCATAAAAGTTTAGAGCGGCCTGAAAGTTGAACTTTTACACCAGGGAGTTGTTCACTCTTTAGAATATTCAAATATATAAGGTCATCAGAGCCACGTTTGCCCAAAGATAGGTCCCCAAAGGAGGGAAGCAGTAGGACAGATGGATCAATGGAAATAAAAATTACTGGGAGAAAGTGGGCTTGTGTTGTGGTTATTTTAATTAATGTTATAAAGCAAAAATATGCATGAATGAGTAAATTAAAAAAAATCAACAAGCTTAGTAAAATTGTTTGTTGTTGTTGTTAAGTGCCGTCAAGTCGCAGGCGACTCATAGCGACCCTATGAAGGAGAGTCCTCAATGCTTGGGTGTCTCTTATCCTCTCTCCAGGCTCATAGGATTTCCAGACGCAAGCTATTATGGAAGTGGATGCCACTTCTCCTTCCAAACTTGTTTTAATCGGGGAGTTCCACCCCACTCTCTGTCTACATTGGGTAGCCAAACATTAACGCATTTGACACATCACAGCCTCACAGCAACCGCAAGTCACTGGTAAGGCAACTTGTAGAGCGGGGCTCTACGACCTAGAGGAATGTCTGAACAAAAACAATGAAAGACAGGCCTGAGGGCCGCGGATTAAAAGTCACCCACCTTTGGCTTGGTAGCATTGCTTTGTGTCCACTGGGCCAGCTGATCTCTCTCTCTGTGTTGATATTATTTTCGTAAAATTACCAAATAACAAAAAAGTAAATAACCATAAAAAGTGGCTATACTCACATGCATATGCACAAAAAAATGTTAAATTTTTTTAAAAAAAATTCTTTTAAAAAAAATTTTTTTAATTGAGATTTTAATGAAAGTTCTTAGAGAACTTTCATTTCCGCTCATTCATTGTTGCACATTTTCCTCCCTGCCCCTCCAGTTTGCTTTTTCTTTGCAAAAAAACTTCTTTCATTTTTGTACACTTTACAGCTCTTCTTCTGGACTATTGTTATGGTAATAATACCTAATCATATATTCCTTTTAAGCAGTTCTTTCTCTCATCTGTTTCAATACAGTGTACATTATTTATCCCCTCTTTTCTTAGTTTCTCCCCAGCCCCCAAGTCAGTCCTGTTTTATAACAGTGACATTATGCAGTATTTGTCCTTTTGTGACTGAGATATTTCACTCAGCATAATGTCATCCAAGGTCACCCGTTTTTGTATAATATTTCATGAGTTCCTTGTTTTTCAGTGCAGCATAGTATTCCATTGTGTGGCTATACCACAGCTTCTCTATACATTCGTTTGTTGATGGGCACTTGGGTTGTTTCCAACTCTTTGCTATTGTGAACAATGCAGCAATAAACATGGGTGTACATTTATCTGTTTGGGTAGTAGTTCTGATTTCTTTAGGGTGTATTCCCAGTAGTGGAATTGCTGGGTCAGATGGTATTTCTATTTCCAACTTTTTGAGAAAGTACCATACTGCCTTCCATAGTGGTTGCACAAAAGATGTTAAATTCTTAACCATGTCAGTGGTAATTAATGAAACAAGAAAACCTGTTAGTTTTCCAACCTGAAATATATACATTTCATATAATTCATAGCATATTAAATGAACCTCTTTTTATACATGTGTAAACAAATAAATAACTTGTAGCTTTCAAAGAACTTTTATACTTGTCAGGAAAATTTTACAGGTCACCAGAAAATGCTTATTCATTTAAACTAAATTTTTACAAGCCATTTAGTATAGTTTTGACTCCAGGGAAAATTTTTCATTTTCACAACAAGAGACCCATAATTTAGTTAATGTCGTTTGGTACAAAAAAGGATTTAAAATTTTATAAATTGTATGAACTAACAAAATTTTAACAGGTCAGATGTCAACTTTGATGATACCAGGTTATCTGTAAGTCTTTCAGCTTTTGTCTTTCAAACACCTGTATATGTGCATACATACACATTAGTCTTATGTATCAACCATCTTGTCAGACATTTGCTGTTTAGGAGGATAGTGAAAAATCTACTGTTAGGTTATTTTGCACTTTATTCATCTAATCTGGCAGTAATGAATATAAAGGTTAGAGGTTTTGCCTGAGGTTATATGCCTAATTGGTTGAGCAATTATAGATGATGCAACTCAGTTATTGTTGTTATGTGCCCAGTAGTCATCTGCAAGGCAGATAAACAATGGCTTGAACCTTGGCCCATCCTGAGCCAGCCTCACATTCTCTGACACACCTGACTCCATTGCCACAGTCACTGTGTCAATCCCATCTTATCCAGAATCTTCCTCTCCTGCGCTCACCCTCCACCCTTCAAGCATGATGTCGTTCTCTAAGGACTGGTAGCTCTTGACAGCATGCCCAAAGTGAGTTGGAGCTCCAAAATCCTTACCTCCAAGGAGCAACCTGGTTTCACCCCCTCCAGGACAGACCTGCTTGTTCTCTTGGTAGTCCATGGTATGTTCAATACTCTTCTCCAGCACCACAACTCAAAGGCATCAGTTCTTCCTCTGTCATCTTTATTCATTATCCATCTTTCAGATGCATAGCAAGCAGTTGAGAAAACCACAGCCCGGCTAAATCAATAGTTGCTATTTGCCACTACCTGTAGTGATGAAATGTCATATTTCTGGAACATTTTTTCCTCTCTTGCTAATATTTTTACATTGGTGAATTATACTCTATATGAGTGAACTGTGATAGATGTTTAGAAAAAGTCATTGAACTACAAAGAATGATACTGCAAATCATATTGAGTTGTCTAAACTCACAAGAAATATTCCTTCTGAGGAGCAAAGAGGTGGGGGGGCGGGGAGAAGGGTGCAACAATGAATGAATGGAATTCCAAAATCTCTGTAGATGTTCATTGAAATGAAAAATAAGTAAATTAATTTAAAAAAAAGAAATACTCCTCCCAGTCACCAGCTATTCATTTTTACTTTTCTCTATAATTGATGTTTTCTTAGATCTTCCCTTTTAATTCTTCACCATATCTGACTACCTAGCACAATCCCCACTTTCATGATGTTCCATTCTTTATTATCTTGAATTCTGCTTACTCCTTTCATACTAGTTAACTAATCAATTTTTCCATGGAGTGGAGGGTGTAGAAGTGGTTTATTAGCACTTAATCACAAAGACAGGTCTAGTCTTAAGCGTCACAAGGTACATGCCAATTATTTTTGGTAAAGTGAGCCTGTATTTGTTTAATCTTCTTTAGAAGCTTCTTGCGTCATTTGAGATCATGCTTATTGAATCCTTAAGTATTCCAAGTTCAAATTTGTTCTTCAGGTCTTTCAGCATGAGAAATGCCCAGCTTATTCTCCCTTTGTTTTTTCACTCCAGCTCTTTGCATGTGTGTTACTTTGCTTTGTCTTTTTGAGCTACTCTTGGAAATCTGTCATCTCCGTTATTTCACCATTTCTTCCCCAGGTATCTTCCAAAACCAAGGATGATCTGTCTCCATTCTAGTGCAACTTTCAGAATCTAATCTGAGACCCATTTTCATCTCTTCTTTCCCCCTCTGTTTGTAGTGAGCTTTGGGGTTTTTTTCCCATGTATCACATCCTTGATGTCAATCCACAACTCGGTGCTCAGTGCATCAAATCTACTCTTTAGATGGTTTTTAAATTCAGCTCGGGTTGTTATTACTGTTGTTGTATACCAGAAAGTAGCCTGCGGCTCATAGCAACCCTGTGTCCAACAGCTCTGAACCCTGCTCTATCCTGAGCTAACCTTACTGCCTCTGACACACCTACCTCCATTATCCTAGTCACTGAGTCAATCCATCTCATCGAGAGTCTTCCTCTCCTGCGCTGTCCCTCTACCCTCCCAAGCATAATGTCCCTCTCCAAGGACTGGTCCCTCCTTGCAACTTAAGGGTTTTGTTTTGTTTTTTGTTCCGTGAACTTGTAATTTTGTTCAGCTTTAATGTGAACTTGCACATGAGTAACTGATATTCCATAATCAGCCCCTGGTCTTGTTTTCATGGCTCGTTTTGAAATTCTCAGACTCTTTTCCACACACGTAATTGACTGGATTTCTGCATAGTTCACCAGATGACTTACATGATGTTTGAAATTAAGAAATCACTGATTATGGTGAGCTCTGGTGGCCTAGTGGCAGGAAACTGCACTGCAATCCCAGAGGTGCGTGGTTGAAATCCACCAGATGCTCTGCTGAAGAAGGAGGAACAATAGCCTCCTGTACCATTCAGATCCAATTTGATGGTACACACACATAAAAAAAGAAAGAAAGAAAGAAATCACTGATTACAGAAAATTCAGTCATTTTCTCTCTCCAGCCTCATTTCATTTCTGTCCTCAAGGTTATATTTTCTAAATACTAGATTTTTACTTAGAACTGAATCATCAGTTATTATTAATGCATCTTGATTGCCCAGTCAGTCATCTTCAGACTTAACATGGGTAGTCATTGCTTCTAAGTGACAGCATAAGATTCATAGTGAACCTGTGGAGAACAAATCTGAGCCTTGCCCTATCCTGTGCCATCTTCCCAATCCAATGTGTCCCAACTGATTGTTGCAGACTCTGTGTTCGTAGCTGAGGTTATTTGACAGATTGGCTCCATTATGATTTTTAGGGGGTGAACAGGTATGTGATAATTTAATAAGAGAGTGATGTAGTCGTGGATCATTTTGTGATCAGATTAGGTCATCCTCCATCCATTTTTACATCTGACTGATTTTTTTTTAACTGTTTGATCTTTGGAACTTATTCATATCATTAAGTGTAGAGATGGAGTATTCCCCGCCCCCTGTGGCAGAAAAACAAAATATTGACTTGTAGTTTCAAGTAAATTTTAGCAAAATACCAATAAACCTTGGAAATTGTTTTAAACTTAAATGTCACAAGACCTAAAGACTGTTGAAATGGTCTGTTTTCGTTGATGTTTTTGTCCTTTCATTTCAAGTGTGTCTCATTGTCATGACTGATTTCTTCTATGATAGGTATTCACCTAATTTCTTATACCTATAATGGACGGCGCAGGAGAGGAAGGCCCTCTATGAGGTGGATTGATTCAGTGACTGGGATAATTGGGATGGGAGTGTCAGAGACAGTGCAATTGGCACAGGACAGAGCGGAGTTTAGGGCTGTTGTACACAGGGTCGCTATGAGTCGCAGGCGACTCGATGGCACATAACAACAACATAATAAGATACTGTAACTATCCATGTTCTTCTACTGTTTATAGAGATTGGGGCAACTTTGGGCATGTGTCTACTAGAAGCTATTCCTCAGCGAGGGGCATCATGCTTGGAAAGGCAGAGGGCCAGCGAAGGAGAGGAAGACCCTTAACCCGGTGGATTGACACAGTGACTGCCGTAATGGCCTTTAGTGTGTCAGGATGTGTAAAGATGGCGCAAGGTAGGACAGGGTTCAGATCTGTTGTTCATGCGATTGTACTCAACTCAGAGGCACTTAGCAACATAGTAAGATAGGAGCTCTGGCCTAATGGTAAGACACAGTACTGCAATCCCAAGGGCATGTGGTTCAAGCACTAGCTGCTTCATGGGAGAAGGATGGACATTCTCTTTCTGTGTGATTCATTGCCTCTGAAAACCCTCTGGAGGGTCAGCACTGGAGGATGTTCCAGGTGGAGAACGCACAACACCACCAGCATAATAAGATAGCATCTTACATTCTTTTGACTAAAATGCCTTCACTTAGGTTGAACAGGGCTTTCAGACGCTTACTAAGGGTGAGGAGAAAGCAGCTATTGGTGTCACATGGCTTCCAATGAACATACAATCATTTGTTGCACAAATCACATGTGTTTATGGGCCAGGCGGTGTGTTGCATTACATGTTGCTTACCTTAGAATTTCTCAGCCAGCCAGCTGATTATATATGTAAGCAGAGAACTTTATTCTCTGACTAGAAGTAATTGAATTCCTAGATGCAGGCTGTTGAGGACTTGATGTTAAATTCTGTTTATTGTAAGTATTGATGGTGAACTTGTGATTGTCCATGTGTGCCTTCTTCTAGGAACCTGTTACGTTTGAGGATGTGAGTGTGGACTTCACAGAGGCAGAATGGAAGACCCTGAGCTCCGAGCAGAAGAACCTGTACAAAGAAGTGATGCTGGAGATGTTTGGGAATCTTCTGTCCTTAGGTGACTCTATGCTGCTCTCTCTTCCTCCACAATTTAGTAGATACGCATTGTCCTCCTAATATGGGAGAGGAGCCTGAGGGCCTCAAAAGTTATGGTCTTAGCTGGTAACAAAAATATGGGAATTGGTACTTTTCTTTCAGTTCATGGTAGAAACAAGCTGTATTGGCCTCTGTAAAGAATTAACAGAATTATTGTGCAACAATAAATGAATATTTTAAAAAGTGAACTAGGGGAAGGGAGGGAGGGAGAGGAATAAAATGTGCAATAGTGAACGAAAAATCTAAATTTTCTATAAACCTTCCTTAAAATCACAAAATAAAAAATTTTATTAAAAAAATCTAGAATTAGAATTCCTAGTGTCATATAATGTTACAAGTTAAAGTCATTCAGGATTTTACTAAATTTTTTTCCCCAATGGATGAAAGTACTATGTGCTGAAAATTGTCTGTGCTCAAACATTACCCTGAATATAGGTGTTTCATGGTTGTCCTTATATGCCAGGGAGTTGCTTGCAACACATAGTGACCATATATCTAAAAGCTCTGAACCTTGCCCTATTTTGAGCCAGCTTCATTGTCTCTGACACACTTACCCCCATTACTCCAGTCACTGAGTCATTCAGTCTCATACAGGGTCTTCCTCTCTTTGCTATCCCTCCACCCTTCCAAACTTGATGTCCCTCTCCAGGGACTGATTCCTCCTTGCAACATGTCCAAAGTATGCCAGACAAAGCTTCAGAATCCTTGTCTGTAAGGAATAGTCTGATTTCACGGTCTACATATGAACCTGTTTGTTCTCCTAGCAGTCCATGGCATCGATTCTTCTTGTATCATCCCTAACCATTGTCCAGGGCTCTGATACGTAACAAGTAATTGTGAGGACCATGGCCTGAATCAGGTGCACCTTAGTCTTTAGACTAACATCATTGCTCTTCAGAACTCTTGAGAGGTCCCTGACAGCAAATTTTCCCAGTGCAGTTCATCTTTTGATTTCCTGTCTGCTAGGGACATGATAGGTATTTTAGTATCATTCAAATTGTCAACCTCCGTGGTTGAGTGGAGTTGAAAGCCAGGTACACTGAAGAGGGGAGACATGCTGACTTGCTTTCTTTTTTTTTTTAATTAATATTTTATTGAAAGATTATAGAGAACTTGGATTTCCATTCACTTGTTGTTGCACAGCTGACTTGCTTTCTGATTGTGATTCTTAACGGTAATCTTTGAATCTGGATTCTGAGTTGTATCTTTTTCCTTCCTAATGTATCACTTAATTGTATGGAGGACGTGTGAGTGTTGTGTGGTTTTTGCATTTAGTTATTAAATGCAGGACAAAATGAGAGAGCGCTATAAGGAGGATGGATTGTGTCAAAGCTACGGTATAAGAGGGTGAGTGGAAGAGCTACAAACTGTAAGCTTATGAAAATAAGGATTAGGCTGATCGTGAGAGTTACTGTCCTGAAGTTGAGTAAGTACAGGTGCTACTATTATAAACTTAACCATTGTCTCCCATATTTGCATATCATACATTGAGTTGACTGTACTTGTCTCAGTAACTGCAAAGGATATTTTCAAAGACCCCATGAACCTTGGCAGCTAAAAATTGTTATGAGTTAGCTGTGTCAATGTTTCTATGACTTAGAGGGTTTTAGTTTGGAAAAGCCCAACTATTTACAAGGAAGAAGCATTGTCTGCAGCTTAATTGTGAACTTCCCAGTCTGACTGACATGCTGAAGATATTTTTCTTGTAAGTTCTGTGAATTCAAATATCCGATTTCGCGGCCGTTTATTTCCTTCTTATTGTTAATAGTATAGTTGAACAGTGTAACTGCCCAGTTGGGAATAAAAGGCTTTAAACCTGGCTGGAATCAGACAGTCTTATATTTCTCATGCACTGTAGTTAGAGTCACACCACTGTAACCTTGTGGAAGCAGCCAAACACTTAAAGGCTATACAATGAGCATTTCTTTTGGATTTCAGTGAAATACATAACTTTAAAACAATATTGAATTAATTATTGATTGGAAATAATGTGGTGTATAAATTTTCCTTAGTATAGCAATAAAATTGCATTACTTGCCATCATGTCCATATAGACCCATGTGTGCGCACTAGAAATACTCTGTAGATTAATGAAGGTTCTCACTTTTCAGTTGTAGATCACCATGTCTGTCTTACAACCCATCAGTGTGTTGGCTCTTACTGAAACACTCATTGTGCCACTCAGGCTAGCAGTGTGAGGCTCTTTGCGGTAAAAGAAAATAAGAATTCAGGCAGATCCAGTTTTCTAATTGAAAACTTTCTCTCTTCTTTAGCAGAACCAAAGCTACAGACCTCTGCCTGTTCCTCTTGCCTTCTGGCTTTCTGCTGTCAGCAGTTCCTCAGCCAACATGTTCTACAGATCTTCCCAGGCTTCTGTGCAGGACATCACGTCCACCAAGGAAAGTCCCTACCAGGTCCTCAGATCCAGCAAGATGGAGGGACAAGGGAGATACTGACTTCAAAAAGATTTCCCAGACCACCCAGGACACAAGCTGCCATCTCTCAAGAAGACAACACCAGACTTGGCCTAGAGCCCACCTTTGTCCAAAGGGTAAACTTTGTGGAGGCAGGGCCAAGGTGGAAGAAATTAGAATCCGCAAGATTTGAAGGAATCAGGTATGGAGAAGAAGCTCCAGACCATGAACTAAGATTAGACTTCACCACAAACCTGAGGCCTCTATTCCTGGAGAAGCCACACATTTTCATGGAGTGTGGGAAGGGGTTTACCCAACACTCCACCCTCAACACACAGCAGAACACACACTTAGGGGAGAAGATTTATATTTGCAAAGAGTGTGGTAAAGGTTTTAGACACAAGTCACATCTCATCACACACCAGAGGACACACTCAGGAGTAAAGCCTTATGCTTGCCAAGAGTGTGGGAGAGCCTTTACCCAGAAGTCACATCTCATCAAACATCAGAGGACACACTCGGGGGAGAAGCCTTATGTTTGCAAAGAGTGTTTGCGAAGCTTTGCGCAGAGATCAAGCCTCATAAGACACCAGAGCACACACTCAGGGGTGAAGCCTTTTGTTTGCAATGAGTGTATGCAAGATTTTGCCCATAAATCAAGTCTCGTAAGACACCAGAGGACACACTCCAGGGAGAAGCCTTATGTTTGTGAGGAGTGTGGGCGAGGGTTTACCCAGAAGTACCATCTAATCACACACAAGCGGACACACTCAGGGGAGAAACCTTATGTTTGCCCTGAGTGTGGGCGACGCTTTACTCAGAAGTTCCATCTCATCACACACCAGAGGACACACTCGGGGGAGAAGCCATATGTTTGCAAGGTGTGCATGCGAGTCTTTGCCCAGAATGCATATCTCATAAGACACCAGAAGAGACACTTTGGGATAAAATCTTATGTTTGCAGGGAGTGTATGCAAAGCTTTCCTGAGAAGTCAGATCTGGTAAGACACCAGAGAACACACTCAAATGAGAGGCCTTATGTTTGCAAGGAGTGCGGGCAAAGCTTTACCCAGAAGTCAATTCTCGTCCTCCACGGGAGGACACATTCAGGGGAGAAGCCTTATGTTTGCAAGGAGTGTATGCAAGGCTTTGCCCTTAAATCAAATTTCATACGACACCAGAGGATGCATACAGGGTTGAAGCCTTATGTTTGCAAGGAGTGTATGCGAGGCTTTACCCGGAAGTCAAATCTTATCACACATCAAAGCACACACTCAGGAGTGAAGCCTTATGTTTGCAAGGAGTGTATGGTAGGATTTAGCCAGAAGTCAAATCTTATTATACACCAGAGGACACATTCAGGGGAGAAGCCTTATGTTTGCAAGGAGTGTACGCAATGCTTTTCGCAGAAGTCAAATCTCAAGGCCCACCAGAGGACACACTCAGGGGAAAAGCCTTATGTTTGCAAGGAGTGTATGCAAAGCTTTACCCATAAGTCAGGTCTCGTCAGACACCAGAGGACACATACAGGGGTGAAAGTGTATGTTTTCAAGGAGTGTCGGTGAGACTTTTATCTGTAATTTTAGTCTCATCAGACCTTAGAGGATCCACTCGAGAGTAGCCTTATATTTGCAGGAAGTGTATGCAAGGCTTTATCTGTAACTCCACTCTCTTCAAACACCAGAGGATCCACTCAGGAGAGAAGCCTTGTTATATAAAAGTCAACTCTTATCCCACACCAGATGAAACTTCCAATTTTAGAAACCTTATGTGTATTCCTGGAAGGGCTTACCCAGAAGAATTACATGATTCCCCTGTCTGTCCTGGATTGTTGTTTAGTACCATCAAGTCGGAACTAACCAATAGCTCACCCTCCAGTGGTTTTGTTCATTCTGTATATTGACTTTTCTGGAAAATGTCCTTCGAAGGATAAAAATTTTTATTTCATATAGTCTGATTTACATGTATTACTTTTCTTCATGATTTGGTGTCCTTTCTAAGAATCCATTGGATAATCAAAGTCATAGAAATGTCACCAAGTTTTTAGTTTTGTGATTTTTAAAATTGTGATTTAAACGAACATTTACACCAAGTTTGGGTTTTCATTCATTGTTGCACATTTTCCTTTCTCTCCCTCCCTTCACCTTCACCCAGGCCACCTTGCAATGCATCTCTTATTCCAGATTGTTCTCATACATATACTGCTTAATCATATATTCCTTTCAGACAGTTCTTCCCCTCATCTGTTTGAATGCACTGTTCATTATCTCTCCACTCTTTTCCTATTCTCCCCTCCACACCCCATGTCAGTTCTATTTCATAACAGCAGTGTAATGCACTATTTGTCCTACTGTGACAGTTCTTTTGCTCACATAATATCTTCCAGGTTCACTCATGTTGTATAATGTTTTATGAATTAATTGTTTTTCAGTGCTGCATAATATTCCATTGCATGGATGTACCTTTTTTCCCTATCCATTTGTTTTTGATAGTTACTGGAATTCTTTTCATCTCTTTGCTGTTGTGAGTAATGCAGCAATAAACAGTGGTATTGCATACATGAGTTTGAGTTGCGGCTCTGGTTTCTTTAGGGTATATTCCCAGTAATGGAATTGGTGGGTCAAATGATATGTCTATTTCCATGTTTTTGAGGAAGTGCTACCCTGCCTTCGATACTTGTACCATTTTTAAAAATAACCCTGTTATTGCGAGGGTGAGATGGTACTTCATAGTTGTTTTGATTTGCATCTCTCTAATAGCTGTGCTTCTGAGCACTTCTTCATGTATTTGCCGTTTTAACGATTTATTTGGTGAAGCGTCTATTTGTATCTTTTGCCCATTTTGTGATGGGTTTTTTACATTTTCTTGTTGAGGTGCTGGAGTATTCGATAAATTTTAGATAAATCCCTTATCAGATACGGCATTGTCAAATCTCTTTTCTCAGTCTCTGGGTTTTTTTTACTCTGTTAGAGAAGGTTTTTTTATGTGCATAGGGATTTGATTCTCAAAAGTTCCGATTCATCTATTTTATTTTCTCCTGAATGTAGGTCTTTCATTATGTTTGGAAGACCATTCATACTATGGGTTAGGGCTTCTAGAGTTGTTCCTAGCTCTTCTCTGATGAGTTTTATAGGCTTTGGTTTTACTCCTAGGTCCCTAATCCACCTCAAGGTAGGTTTTGTGTATGGTGTGAGATATGAGTCTTAAGTTTTCTGCAGAGGGTTTCCAATTTCTGACACATTTACTAAGGAGGCTTCATGTCCCGATTTAACTGATTTGTCTCCTTTTCAAAAGTCAGTTGACCTTAAGTAGATAAGTTGATTTCTTGGTTCTCTCTTATTATATTGATTTATGTGCTTGTCACTGAACTAGTACCAAGCTGTCTTGACTACCACAGCTGTGTAGTAAGATTTGCGATCAGGGAGTGTGGTGCCTCCTACCTTATTTTTCAGTAGTGCTTTGTTATTTGAGGTCTCTTTCCATTAAAGATAAAATTGGAAATTTCCTTTTCCATCTCATTGAAGAATGGAATTGGTATCTGTATTGGGATTGCATTGAACTTGTAGATTGCCTTTTGTAGAATTGTCATTTTCATGATATTGAGTCTTCCTATCTGTGGGGTATATTTTCCATTTCTCTGATTCTCTGGTTGTTTCTTATAGTCATGTTTTGTAATTTTCTTTGTATTAGGTCTTTTGTGTGTCTAGTTAGATTTTTTTTTTCCTTGGGATTTCTTCCTGGGATTAGCTATTGTAATTGTAAGGTATTGTTTTTCTTAGCTCTATTTCTATATTCTCTTTGTCACTGTAGAGAAATCCAACTCATATTTGTATGTTGATCTTGTATCCTGTTGCTTTGCTGAATTAGTCAATTATGTCTCACAGTTTTCTTGCTGAATCTTTAGGATTTTTTAAGTACATGGCTATATCATCTGTGAATAGTTTTACCCCCTCTTTGCCAATTTGGAAACCTCTTCTTTTCTTTTCTTGCTTTATTACTCTTAAGACTTCGAATACAGTATTGAATAGGAAAGATGATAGTGGGTATCATTGCCTTGTTCTTGTTCTCAAGAGAAATTCCTTTAATCTCTCTCCATTGAGAATGATGTTGGCTCTTTGTTTTGCATACATACTTTTCACTGTGTTGATGAAATTCCTCTCTATTCCTTTCTTGTTGAGTGTTTAAATCAGGAAGGAGTGTTGTATTTTGGAGTGGTGGATTTTGTCAAAGGCCTTTTTTTGTATCAATTGATAGGATCATGTAGTTCTTGTTCTTTGCTTTGTTAATGGGATGAATTACATTAGATGTTTTTCTTATGTTGAGCCATCCTTTCATACCTATTATGAATCCCACTTGGTCATGATGAATTATTTTTTTTTATGTACTATTCTGAAAGAGACCAGCTTGTGCAGACAGGGTCAGAGTGGAGTAATGCAGCATAAAAGAACACACAGACAGGACTTAGTTAGAAAGCAATGGTTAATTCAAGATCCTGAGACTCAAGAGCCTCAAGAATCAAAAGCACTTTTCCCAAGACCCTTTCTGTATTTATTTCTTAGCAGCCTGGAAGCTTATAATAGAGCATAAAGGCAGATTACTGTGTCTGGGGAGGAACAGCAGAGAATTGTTTTTAGGTTTAATCATTGTGAGAACATTTGCTGACCTTAGTAACTTGTCTCTGGATTGTTTAACTCCCTCTCAGTTTGCTGATGGATCATGAGAACATTTGCTAACATTATAGTTAAGGTTCTCATTGGGATAGTCTCCAACAATATTGGATCAATCCTGTTGGCTAAGATTTTGTTGAAGATTTTTGCATCTATGTTCATGAGCGATACTGGTCTCTAGTTTTCTGTTTTGGTGCTGCTTTTCCTAACTTTGGTTTCAGGGATATGTTTGCATAATAGAACGAGTCTGGAAATATTCCATCTTTTTTTTTTTTTTAAAAAACAACTTTATGTAGAATTAGTAACATCTCTTCTCGCAGTGTTTTTTAACATCACTAGTAAAACCATCTGGTCCAGGGCTTTTTTTTTGGCTGGAAGTTGCTTTATGACCTTTTCAAGTTATTCTTTTGGAATGGGTCTGTTCAAGTGTTCTACTTTAGTCTGTGTCAGTTTGGGTGGGTTGTGAATTTCTATATATTTGTCCATTTCCTCTAGGTTTTTGTATTTGTTTGAGTGTAGTTTTTCATTAAATTCCATTATTAACCTTTTTATTGCAGTTGGTTTGGTTGTGACATTGCCCTTTTGCCTCTTATTTGGATTATTTGTGTCTTTTCTTTCTTTTCCTTTGTTAGCTTTGATAGTGATTTGTCAATTTTAGTGACCTTTTCAAATAATCAACTCCTGATCTTGTTGATAGTATGAATTGTTTTCTGTTCCATTTAGTTCTACCTTAATTTTTATACTTTTCTTTCTTTTAGAAGTTGTTGGGTTTCCTTGCTATTCTTTTTCTACGTGTTGGAGATGTTGGGTTAAATAATTAACATTTTGTTTCTTTTGATATGTTTGCTTGTTGCTATGAATTGACCTCTGAGTACTGCTTTGGCTGTTTCCCAGAGGTTTCTGTTAAGTTGTGTTTTCATTCTCATTTGTTTCAAGAAACTTTTTTATTTATTACCCAGTCATATTCAAGTAGAGTGTTGTTCAACTTCCAGGTGTATGGCTTTTTCTCCTTTATCCCCTTGTAGATTTCTAATTTTTTTGCACTGTGATCTGAGAAAATGCTTTATATTATTTTGATGTTTTTTAACTTATTGAGGCTTGCTTTGTGACCTAAAATAGAATCTATTCTGGAGAATGTTCCATGCACTCTGTAGAAAAATGTATACTGAGCTTTTTGGGGGTGCATTAGCCTGTATGGAAGGAGGAGTAGTGTTCTACTTCCTAAACTATATGCCTCTGGAAACTCTATGAACTTTGATAAATGTTGATAGTTATAGAAAGGCTTCAGGCCTTTTGTTCATAGGGTCACTATGAGTCGTGCTCAACTCAGTGGCAATCAACAACACAACAACATTAGTCTTTATATAGATGAGATCAAGTTGGTGGTATGGTTTAATTTTTCAGCATCTTTGTTGAGTTTCTGGTAGTTCTGTCTTTCCTGGAGAGTGGTGTATTGAAGTTTCCTACTACTATTGTGGTGGTGTCTATTCCTTTTTTCAATTCTGATAATGTTTGCTTTGTGTATTTCACAGCTCTATTATTTTGGTGCATAGATATTTACTATGGTTATGTTCTCTTGTTCGGTTGATGCTTTAAGCATTATATCATGACCTTTCTTGTCCTTTGTGATGGTTTTTGTGACAAAAACTATTTTATCGGAGATTAATACTGCTACTCCTTTTTTCTGGTTGCCAGTTGCTTAGTAATTTTTTTTTTCTCTACACTTATTTTTAGTCTATCTTCACATTTCAGGTGTATCTCTTGTAGACAGCATATTGATGGGCTTTGGTTTTTACCCAGTCTGCTACTCTTTTTCTCTTCACTGGTGCATTTACACCATTCACACACAGTGTGATTATTGAGAGGCAAGGTTTTATTGCTGTCATTATGTTGGGCTCTTTTTGATGTTGTAGGTTTGTGATTATTTTTGAATTGGTATTTGTGTGTGATGTAGGGCGAGGTAGTTCATCTTCCTTTCTTTGAACCTGCAGCATAGTGCATACGCAGGATGGCTTCATCAGTTCAGAAAAGAAGTCCCTTGATAAGTAGCTTTTCGTTATTTTGGGGCTCTGTTGAGTGGAGTACGACTCGTAGCAACCCTATGAACAATATATTTGAACTTTGTTTAGTCCAGTGCCGCCCTCATTATCTCTGACACACTTGAAACCATTGCTTCAGTCACTTCATCAGTCTATGTCATTGAGACTCTTCCTCTCTCTTCCTGGCCCTCCACCTTTCCAAGCTCGGTGCCCCTTTCCATGGAATAGCTTTACTTAACATGTGCAAAGTATGTGAGAAAAAGCTTCATCATCCTTGCCTCCAAGGAGCACTATGGCTACAGTATTTTCAAGACCTATCTGTATTTTCTTTAGACAGTCCATGGAATACTCAGTACTCTTCTCCAACACTGTAACCCAAAGGCATCAATTCTTCTGTCATCCAACTTTCAGATACATAGCAAAGCATTGAAAAGACCATGATCTGAGTTATTTGTATCTTAGTCCTCATATTGACATCATTGCTCATCATTAATTTATAAAGGTCCCTGACACTAGACTTTCCCAACACAAAATGTTTTCTCTTCTCCTGACTGCTAGTACCAAGGGAGTTGATTGTGGATCTAAGTAGAATTAAGTTGGTGACAATTTGAATCTTTTCTCCATCTCTCATGATGTTGTGTATTATTGTAGTGGTGAGGATTTTTGTCATCTTAATATTGAACTGTAATTCCTGTTGAAGGCTGTAGTCTGATCTTCTGCTGTCGGAGCTTCAATCCCTCCTTACTCTCAGCAAGCAAGAATGTGTTTGCATATCGAAGGGGGTTGTTGAGTCTTCCTTCGATCCTGATGCCACAGTCTTCTTCATTGAGTTCAGCTTCTCAAATGATCTGTTCAGGATACACATTGAATAGGTATGGAGAAAGGATAGCACCCTCACATACACTTCATGATTTTAAACCTGCAGTGTTCACTTGTTCTGATTGGACAACAGCTTCTTGGTCTGGGTATAGCTTTTGTATGAGCATGATTAAGTGTTTGGGATTTCCATACTTGTCAGTGTTACCCATAGTTTCTTATGCTGCATACAATCGAAAGCCTTTGCATAATCAAGAAACACAAATAGACATTCTTCTGTCATTCTCTGCTTTCAGCCAGGATCCATCTGACACCAACAGTGATCTCTCTGATGCCATGGCTTCTTGTTGAGCTAATTAACACAGCTTGAACTTCTGCCAAGTCACTGTCAGTGTACTAGTCTAGCCATTTTTGGATGATTTTCAGCATTATTAGCTTTCAACTCAATATTATTGATATTGTTAATAATTTCCAAATTCTGTAGGATCAACTTTTTTGGAAATAGGAACAAATATGTATCTCTTGCAGTCAGTCAATCAAGAGCTGTCCTCTAAATTTCCTATTCAGCCTGCCGAGGTTTGCATGTATTAGTTGAACTGTGTTGGTTGGATCCCATAGATTCCTCGGGCTTTTTTTGGCCATTGCCTTC